GGGCATGGATTGTGTAAGAACTTGTGTTGGTTAAGTCTCGGTTTCAGTTTGTTTGTATTCTGTCTGAAGCTCTGGTTAGACAGTTATGATATGTTTTTTCTGTGATTTTCTGTACTCTGTTTTAGCTTATTTTTCTGAGTTCATGGATCTGTGATGAGGATTGTTATAATGTCATCTTCTATTTTTGTGATGGACTCAGATATGATATGTAAGCTTTGTGGTCTGGGATTTCTTTCAAATAAGTTCCTTGATAGTCTGAATTTTTCGGTTTTTCCTTATTGTATGATGCAGCCTGATCGGTAGATGGGTTGAGCATAAATGTCATATCTTTGTTTATGTTGTTTCTGAAAGTATGATAATTTAATTTCAAAGTACGCATATATGTTGAATAGTATGATTGTCTAATCGTTGGACATAGATAAAGTATGATGGACATAGTCACATAGGTAAAGTATGATTGTTTAATCGTTAAACTCTAACATTAGCTGTTATATTTTGTGAATTCTCCTCATTTTTCAGTTTCATTTGATGAGATGGTGAATTGAAGATCAGGTGAAGTGAGGTGAATCCCTAGTCAATATACTGCAAACCTGTGCAATAAATAATATGCAAAATAAGTTGATCTTTATTCATTTTGGTCTTTTCTCTTCCAATTTATAAGCGTGCTTCTTTATCAATTACTTGTAATCTAAACGAAATAACCTTCTTCAACACACATTTTGTTTTAAGCGGAAATTTTTTTCTTTCATTTGTTGAGAAGCTGTTATAGAAAAATAGAATTAAAGTGGCATGAAATTTCACCAAATTCTTGTGTGAGTAACATAAATATTAGGTGGTCGATCAAAATAATGATTATACTATCGAATATTACGTTTTGTTATATTATTTATATTGTTAAGTAAGTACAATGTGTCATTTTATAGAGAAATGCTATGGTGCCATTACGGAATCATTCTGTTGAAGTTTGTAACTGTTAAATCAACTATCCTCGATAGTTACATAATGATGTGACAGTTACAAGCTGTTACAAGCCCGATAGAATGGTTCCGTAACGGATATATAGCATCTCCACATTTTATAATGTTTAATGATATCAGCCAAGAGAAGACCTAATATTTGTATTTTTCATTCACCCATGTACCTATCTATGCGTGAAGGTTATCCTACAATACACAACACGATTTATGGTTCAAATACTTGCACTGTACAAAACCGTAGGACAAGGGACTGTAAGCTAACTTGCGAAAACCCACCTGGGAACGAGAGTTGCGAGACGCACATTTCCTTCATTGCCGCCAAAATCACAAACGCTCATTTCCGTTTTATCTTTTTCTTTTTGTAATTTTTTTTTTCAAATATTCCAAACGTTCTTCTCCCTTCTCAGACTCCGCCGGCAAAACCATCAGACCACCGCACGCGATGCGCACTCGCTTCCTCGCCACCGATTACTCAGCCACCGCACTTGAAGGCGGTCCAGTCGAACTACCTGACTTCGTTCAGATACCTCTCCTTGAGCTCTCTCCAACAACCTATCCCGACGCTTCTGCTAACTTCTCGCCGTCCTTTGACGAAATTCCAGTTTTCGACGTCGCTTGCGAAATCGAGCAGCTACAGATTGAGGATGCTCTCTCGATATTCTTGTCCGATGTTCTTCCTCACTTTGTGGACGGCGCGGGTTTTGAGGAGACGAGGATTGACGGCAGCGAAGAAAATTTCACGGAGGTAACTAGAATTTTCGGCTAAAGATGTTCTTCTTTTAGGTTATTATTAGCGACCTACATTCGAATCTGACGCCATTTTCAACCATGATTGGAAAGTGATTTGACATGCTGAGCATTATTAGACTGAGCTTATTTCTGCAGGAAGTGTGATTGCTGGTTAAGGTTTCTGTAGGATGATTTTCAGTTGGCTGTTGTATGCGGACACTTGAACAATTGCCTTTAACTTTGTTTTTGTGCCAGTCCTGATTAATTCCATATTTCTGGTGAAATTATATTATGAGCTGCTTTAGTCACTGGTGTAGTTAGATCTGATGCGTGGAATTGGATGTCTATCGATTTTTCATGTATAGCGTTTAACAGAAGTTTCTCACGTGTGACACATTTTTTTTTTTTGGATCCACCATGGTTTTGAGCCTGTCTCCTGCAAAATGTATGAATAGTCAAATATTCAGTTATATGGATAACTATCCACTGTAAATCCTTCTCATGGAGGAGCACGGGAATCAATACGAGTTTGTTGGTTGGTGAGTGGTGAATAAATGGAGATTGGAGTTTCAATTCAAGTTGTCTATTCATGTGTATTCCTTGCTGCTTGATTTATGTTTGTAATATTCATCATATTCTAATTCATCACATTTCAGGGGAAAGATGGAACGCCATGTGATGATAAGGGTGATTTTGGACTTAAATTCCCACGATTTGAAATTCCAGAGATTGATGTTACATCTCTTCCGTTGGTAAATTTCTTTTCCAGGTTCACAGACATTGATTAATCCGTTTACATGAACTCACTGTGTCGAAAACTACCCCCTGGATAGGGACATGCCAACATGTTTAGACATATGCCATTAGCATGTGAATAAAATTCTCCAAAGAATTGAATTAACAAAATGCTTAAGAAAAAAATATTATTCATTATTAGTAGAAAAATTATATTGTCTCATCTAATTCATTTTCTCTTTTTGAATCTTTCCTTTTTCTCAAGCTTATGTTTATATCAATTCGGAAAGGACAAACATACTTCCAACGTTTTGGTCCATATTTACTTTCCCATTTGTATTCTCATTTATTTTCTCTAAATTCTGGACCTGTATGAACATCAGTTTTATATATGAAAGTTACACTGGACACCATCTAGGTCCTGAGACTTCCCTAAACTGCTGTCATTTGTTAACTGAGTTGTGTGCATCATCATGCTCGGTCCATGAATTATAGATGTCCATATTTACATAACCGACTCTTGAAATTTACTCTTCTTTGTGTTAAGCAGAAAGGAAACGCCCATTCCCAATATGAGAGCTCACTTATTTTCTCTGAGATTGCTAATGCTGAATGTACAATGGTACGTGAGTTGGTATTTATGTTGGCTTTTCCCGTATGCTGGTGCTTTCTGATCTCTGCATCTCTACATTACAAGCACTGGAAGTGCTTTAAGAATGAAACCTTCTTTTCTATTTTAAAAGTTTTTTAGCCCCAGGATTTGCTTAACTTTGTCAAAAGGTTGTCATGAAGGTCTTTGGGGTATTAAAGTTGAGTAACTTTGAACAATAATCTTTTGTTTGGAAATGACATTCCATCGAATTTGTCATATGCATAGATTCATCTCAGTGATATTTAATTATTTATTTAACTCTAGTGCTAGTTTGATTTGTATCTTATATAGCCATAGAATATCTTCCATAGGTGCAGCACTTTTTGTGACTTCATAACCTGCACTAATGAAGGATAAAAAACCAACAATCCCTTTTCGTAATACAATCCCCCTTTCGTTTCAAATAATTGGTTCTACAATGTGTAGTCCTAATTACTTTAGTGCACAAAAAATACCATGTTAAAATAGTTTGAGTTGCAGGATTTGCTAGATTCTGAGCTTACGCTACAAAATCCATCTGAAATTCAACAGTCAGTTTATTCAGTTGATGATGAGAGCGTAGAGTACTCAATGGAACAAAAGTCTGATATGTTGGAAGATGCTGATTGTGGTCTGGGAAAACTTCATTCTCATAACATCCAGTTTCCTCTATTTGAACTTGATGTGGAGAGTCTGGATATTCTTGGAAGAATATATAAGATGGATGAACATCTGAGCTTTGAGAATATCAAAAAGAAAGAGTTGGAACATCCAGATGTATTAATTAGCAACAACGAGCTCTTGGGTTCTATGGAGTTTGACTTGATAAAGTACTTATTACAAAATTGTGCTGCGATACATTGCCTTGAGGATTCCGATTTTCCATCACAATTGGGCTGTATAACCATTATTGAGCTGTCATGTCAGGAGTACCCAAAACTTCATCATGGAAAACAGGAGAATGATGTGATTCAGTCCATGGACCCAATACTATTTGATGAATTTTTGTTCCTCGATGCGGATACATATTTTTACTGCAAGGTACTTTCAGATTCTGCAAAGGAGATTGAAGCTGAAAAATGTGAATCCCTGTTTGGAAAAGCCATGAACTTTAAAAGTTTCAGTGAATTAGTTGTTTCTCACGAGCTTACTCTAATGGATGACTCCTTCAAGTCGCTACCTGTACCTATCTTCTCAGATGACGGAAATACTTGTTCATCACATGCATTTGTTGAGAAGTTATTTGCTCAGTTAGATTGGCAGACTTGGTCAGCATCTGATGATCTATATCTAGATTGGCGTTTACTTGGGGAAGATGATTCTGAATCAGGGAAATATTCCACTTGTCGGAAAATGTTCTGGGAGATAGATACATACAACATTGATGCCTCTATGTTCACAAGTGATGGTGGAAAACAGATCTTTGATTTTATTCTCTCTGCTTGTCACTCAGATAAAACAAGTGTGGAGAACAACAAGAATACCCTGAACCAATCTGGCAGTGATGTCTCTATGGTCCATTCTTCTGGTGAAGCGGGTTTAACTAGCTTGAGGAATCATGGGGAAAAAAAGATAAATGAAGATATTCTCTTAAGATCCGGTGTTGAGGAAATTGCAAGGTTTGGTGAGTCCATGTCTAGTGATCTTGATTTTTTTCTGAATCCACTTAACTATGTTAAAGGAAGAGAAAGTATACCTGCTAACAAGTCCTTTGATACTAATACGGAGTGTCAAGTGGTGTCAGTCAATGATTCTGCGGCTGCCACTATAACCACTGAAGTTCAGCAGAATGGGAATGTTAAGATACACCAGGTATTTTAGCTAAGACTATATACTATATTTGACTAGTGTGCAAGAATTTTTGGCCTAATAGGAGAAAAGCATAGAGATGATAACAAATGGAAACAAATATGAAGTGTCCACAACTTGACTCACCACCTTCAGTAGTTAATATCTATTAGTTCTGTTTCACTATTGATGATTTTGGTACATTTGTAAATGGATTTTTTCTGTTATACCACATGTCAATGTTTGAGGAAAGTGAATGCTTGATTTCTTCTTCTTCTTCTTCTTCTTCTTTTTTTTTTTTTTTT